CCCCTCCCCCACCCGCCTCCCCGCACGCCTGCGTCCCTTACCTTTCTTCCTCCAGAGCCCGAGTACTTCCTTTCCTTGACCTTCCTGCACGCCCCTCCCCTCCCTTTAGAGAATTTATTTCCTCCCCACTCTTCCCCTTGGAGGAGTCCATCCCCTTGCCCATGGTGGTGGGGCAGCAGCTGCCGCTGTGACCCCTTTACCATGGAGTTTTTCAGAGGAGGGAGACCGAGGGATCTGGCTCCAGCCCCACCCTGGAAGCTAGGTGGAGGCAGTTGCTGAGGTGACCCTCAGGTCTCCGGACCGTAGTGCCCCCACCTGGGTCTCCCTGGAAGTCTGGAGCCACTGGCCTCCAGGGAGGACTTGAGCTGGAAACTTCAGTGGCCTGACTCTGGGCTCTCTCTGGAGTGGGTTAATATCCTCCTTAGGCCGGACTTGGCTGGACAAACAGGGCCTTATCTTTTGGGGGAGGCCTGGTCTCCACTGTGGAAATAGGGAGTGGGACTGCCTTGGGATGGAGTCCCAGTTTTGATACATAATTGGTTGTGTGACCTTGGACAAGTAACTTTACCTCTCTGAATTGGTTCATCAGTAAGATGTGGATAATGGCACCAAACTTTCAGGGCTATTGTAAAGTAAATGCTCTGATTTTGCGTAGCCGGGCATGCTGTGCATGCTCTTTACCAGTAATACTGAGGGGCCCCACAAGACTGCTTATGGCTCCTGCCTGGAGGCAGACAACTGGCATTCAGGGCAGGGGGTTGGGGTAGGTCCCCACAGACAGGGAACAAGGACTATGAATCCTCATGGCAGAGGCCGTGGCCCAGAGAACAGGCCTCATTCATCAGCAAGCCTGCCCTGGCTCTCTCTGTGAGAGCAACTCCGGGGAGCCCCTTTGTCTTGGGGGACTTGGGGGGGAGACAAGTGTTGGAGTAGACCTCAGCTCTGGAACTCAGGGCTGCCAGATGGCTGTGGAGGGGACCATGGTGGCAGGTCTAGGCCTGTGCATCTGGGTCCCTAGGGGACCAGCTTCTCCCTCTTAGGAGAGCCAGGCGGCAGCCATTGTTGGCTGGGTCCTGGAGGCTGACCCAGGCACTTGCAGAGGGGGCCTGGACTAGGAATAGTGTTACAGTTGGGCTGTGATTGGCAACAGCAGCATTTAGGATTCAGGGTAGCTCTGGAACAGAACTTCCTTATAAGGTTTCTGGAGGTCAGGCTGACCTGTCTAGGTCCTAAGTCAGTTGAGGGGCTATTTTGTAAAGACAGAGGCTTCCAGCACATGCATCACATGTGTCTCCTAATTTGGAGGGGATTCTTAGCCCTTGGTGGGGATGAGAGAGGAAGGGGTATCATGGCAGCCCTTTCCTCTGGAGCAGTTGAGAACAGGACTCTAGGGCCCTCCACCAGGACACTCCCTGGCCTCCTGACCCTACTCACACAAATCTGAAGTTTGTTCCTCCTGGATTACCGAGGTCTTGAATCCAGTTTAGGAAGCTATTTGTGGCTGAGGGGAAGAAAGCAGTTCTGTCCTGAGCCCTTGGCCACACTGCCTGTTATTCTGGCCTAGCCCTGGTGCCAAGCCTCATTGCTCCTTGGCAGAACCTAGAGGGAGTGGCTGTGGTGTCCTGAGCCATGACATCCCCATTCCTCAGTCTCCTAAGGACCTGGGGGGTGGGGGAGGGGGATATGGGGGGGTGGGAGAGGTAGGGGTTGATAGGTTGAGTTTGCTGGGAGAGACCAAGTCACACTGCAAGAAGTTAGGTAACTAGGATCCTGTTCTCAGCTCTGCCTCTTCTCCCTGTGCCCTATACATTTTTTTTACACTTTTAGACTAGTGTTTGTTTTCTGTGAACATAAGATGTATACAGGGTGAAGGTAAGGCTCTATTATTTCTCATTTCCCACCAACTTGGGCTGTGTTGGACAGAACAGGGCTCAGACCCCTCCCCAAGCTCCATGTAGTCCCATCTGGGCCTCAAGGTACCAACTGGCTATCAGGAGGGCTTCCTGGAAGTGGGGGGGGGGTGTCCCAGGATTGGGGAAGAAAGTGATTTTTACATTCACTTCCTCTTCCTGCCCCTGAGGAATAGAGGTGGCTCAGGGGCCTGAGGGTGATTTCCGGGCCTCTGTGGGGAGGATGTGTTGCAGTGCAGGCAGATAGCACCAGAGGCCCCACCCCCCCACCCCCAGAGTGCCTCTCTGCATCTTCCTACTTGTGACCAGGGCTTCCCAGAACACACTTAGCCCTTGCTCCTGCAAAAGCATGGAGAGTTGGGTCAGGTCCTGGTATTCCAGAGCTTCCTCAGGCAGGGGGCACCACTGCTCCTGGTTCCTCTGCTGGACCAAAGACTCCTCCTAAACACCACGCCCCCCTGTGACTGCCCCCACTGCATCTGCCACACCTTCTGCTTCACCTTGCGTGTCCTCTCCTTTTTGAGGGTGGTTCATAGCCAAGGTTCTGGACAGATGACCTTTGAGGGGCTTCCCTCTGTTTTCTAAGACTTCCTGCCATTTGGAGATCAATGGGATGAGAGCAAAGGCGATTCCCCTTCCCCCCAGTATTCTGCCTAGGCTCTGGGCTTGAGTCAGCAGAGCTTTGACTAAGCTGCTTAATGGAGCTAGGCTCCTATAAGCCGCTTATGGGGAGAGCAGGCTTATGGGGAGAGCAGGCGTTGGGGGTGAAGAGGAACAAGGAAGGGGTTGTTTGTTTGCCCCAGTACTATTGAGGTCAAGGAAAGTCCTTGCCTGGCCACCTAGATAATAGCACCAGAGGTAGCTTTAGGGTGGAAGTATCCTTTAGAGAAATATTGTCTCTGCTGGGCCCTACCTGGTGGCTCAACAGGTTGGACTGCCTCACTAGGAAGCTGGCTGCAGCCACTTCAGTGAGAGTTCAATCCTCACCAGGGAGCTGACCCACAGGCTGGGTACCCGCTCCTGTCTCACCCACTGCTGCCTTCAGCAGTATATTTCAGTAGATCTGCCTGTTCTCCCAACTCTGTCTCTGGTGAATCCTCTCGCTGCCCCTGCACATCTGGCCTGTACCAATAAATCTTTAAAAAAAAAAAAAAAGGAAATATTGTCTCTCTTGAGGAAAAGCTGTATCGCCCCCCTTTAGAGTAGGTTTCCCTTAAATAGGACTATGTCTTCCCTCTCATGCTTGCCCTGCCAGATCAGAGACCCATTTGACTAAAAGTTTACCCTGAGCCAGTTGACTCAACTTCAGGGTGAATGGGAAGTGTGGGGGAGGTAGCCTCATCCTTTACCCTGCACCTCAGTTTATCCCCAGTTAGATCCCAGTAGCAGAGCTCTGTTTCTTCTACTGCATGGGGGCTCTCTCAGGGCAAGGGGCTCAGTTCACTCTTTCTGGAAGGCAGAATGGGCTTAGGGATCAGAAAAAGTGGTACCTAGTCTGGGGTCCTGAAAAGCTGAGCTGGCAACAGGAACTTTGGGGCCTGCCCCCTTTCTTGCTTAGCTGCCTGTCTCCCCTAGATTACCTGTGCTCCCCCGAGGAGAATATCTACAAGATCGACTTCGTCAGGTTCAAGATTCGGGACATGGATTCAGGCACTGTCCTTTTTGAAATCAAGAAGCCCCCAGCCTCAGGTGAGTGGGCCGGATGGGCCAGTGATAGAGGTAGGTAAGGGCTGCGAAGCAGGATGCCCAGGGACTTCTCAGGCCACAGAGGAGACAGAACAGAGCTGGGACTTGGACCCCCACAAGCCTGGGGCTGGACCTCTTTTCTTTTTTACATCTCTGGGCTTGCTCTTCTTGGGAGGCTAGTCCTGCCCTTTGTCCCTGCCAGCCTGCCCTCTGCAGGCCTCTTTGGGAACTGCAGTCCCAGAGGTCCCAGGACTCAGTTGAAATTGGTGATGGGCTGACCTAGACCCCCTAGGTGGGACCATTCTGCTGATGATAATACGAATCCTCAATGTGTATCAAACTCACCTGGGGAGCTAAAACAGTGCAAGCAGATGGGGGCCCAGGGTGCAGCACAGGGTGGGCAAGGGCCCCAGCCTGAAGCCCACTGAGCCCAGCCGGGGTGCCTTGCAGAGCGGTTGCCCATCAACCGGCGGGACCTGGACCCCAATGCTGGGCGCTTTGTCCGCTACCAGTTCACGCCTGCCTTCCTCCGCCTGAGGCAGGTGGGAGCCACGTGAGTCACGGCCTGGGCGAGGGCTGAGGGGGTGAGGTGGGGAGGAAAGCCCTTCCCGAGTTCTTACTGAGCCTCTCTTAGGGGTGGTTTGTCTTGAGTCTGGCTGGTTGGTTTCAAGACCCAACTCAGCTCTAACCATTTTTCCCCCTTAGGGTGGAGTTTACAGTGGGAGACAAGCCTGTCAACAACTTCCGCATGATTGAGAGGCACTACTTCCGCAACCAGCTGCTCAAAAGCTTTGACTTCCACTTTGGCTTCTGCATTCCCAGCAGCAAGAACACCTGCGAACATATTTACGACTTCCCCCCTCTCTCTGAGGAGCTGAGTGCGTAGGCCTCATGGGAAGGGGGAGCAAGGGGAGGACTTGTAGAGACCGAGTTGGGGGTGGGGGTCCGTGTGGCTCTTGAACCCCTTTTTACCACCCTGGGCCACTTGTATGTCTGGCTGCCATTCCCATGTCACCTGTAGGGAAACTGAGGCTCAAAGATGCTGGGGGAACTCTGAGGTTGTTCAGCGACCCCAACCCCTAGTCCTGAAGCCCCTGCAGTGGACTGGCTCAGGCTCCTGACCTTTGCCCCAATTGGCTGGGCCTCTTTTACAGTCAGCGAGATGATCCGTCACCCATACGAAACGCAGTCTGACAGCTTCTACTTCGTGGATGACCGGCTGGTGATGCACAACAAAGCAGACTATTCCTACAGTGGGACGCCCTGACTCCCCCCAACCACCTTTTGCCCCAGGAGAGTCCTGGGAGCCCCTGGCTCTCAGTTGGTGTTGGGAGGGAGGGTGGCCAGTGCCCCTGTCCAAGTCCGCAAAACCCAGGGAGCCTGGCACATGGGGTGGATGGTAGGAAAGCTGATTCCTTTCCTGTCCAGGAAGGTCTCCAGTGAGAGGGGTAGCCACTCCTTCCAGGCAGCTGGCTAGGTCTTGGGCCCGTTTCAGAATAGCGTTCCCCTAACTGGGCTTGGACTAGGTCAGGGTGGGGGTCCTTTCCCTGTGCCCTGCCCGTCCTTGACAGGCCGTTCATAGTAACTTTCCAGATGAAGACCCATGGCTGCCAAGCTTCCAGGGGAGCTCTACACCATGGCCCAGCCCAGCCTCCCCTATCAGGGGCTGAGACACTGCCTGAGTGAGGGAGGGGCTGGTGCACCTGTATATAGTTTTCAATAAACTTTCTTTTCTGTTCTCTGGCTGAGGGCCAGCATGTGTGTGTGTATGTGTTGGGGGCAGGAGGGTGGGGCAGGCGATCATGTGATCCTCGAGTCCTGTCCCTAGCCTTCTGCACATGACACCCGACTCAGCATCTCGAGTCAGCATTTAGAACATGTTGCAGCTAGAAAGGGTTTTTCCTGTGATAAAGGAAACCCAGGCCGAGAGGGCAAGCTTTGGCCTGAAATTGCAGCTAGCCCTGGCAGAACAGAAGCTGGAACAAGGGCCTGACTCCCTAGGACCACTGGGTCGAGTGTCAGGCCCTGGTCAGAGAGAGAAGGGGCAGGACTTGGGCTAACGCCTAGATAAAGCTCCTTGCCCTCAGCTGCTTTCGGACGCCTTTGTCGTTGCTCCCTGCAGATGACATGGCTCCTGGCAGGCAGCCCTGCCCCACATGCAGAGGTCTTAATTCCTTAATGGAGGAAATTCAGGAACTGAGCTAGGCAGAGAACTCAAGGCTTGTATCCTACTAGTCCTTAACACGAGAAGGCCCAGAAACCCTAGAATTCAGCTGGGTTCCATGGCGCCTTTTCTGTGAACCAAAACCTGGGCTGAGCTCTGGAAATTCTAAAATGAGTGAGACATAAGGACCAAATACCTGCCCCGAGAATGAGATGAGCTGGGCACCGAGTCGTGCTGCTTGGAGGAGGTAGCATTGGTGCTTAAAAATGGGTCAGCTTTAACTGGGAGAGAGGAGAAAGACTTCAGGGGTACGGTACAGCGTAAAACTAGCAGGACATTCAATCCAGCCCTGTATATGTATGTATAATGTAATTTCTGATTCCTCTACTTCTTAAAAAAAGAAACTGTAGAACTGGGGTGCAGCCCAGAGGTGTGGGGGTGAGAGGATTCACCAGAGGCAGGGTGGGGAGCAGAACAGTGTACTGAAATACACTGCTGTGGGGAGATGGGTCTGCCGCACCATCGTTGGGTTGGCTCCCTGGCTGAGGCTTGAACTCAGGACATGGTGGTGAGACTCAACCCCTAGGCCCTTCACTTGGTTAATTTTACCCTCCTGGAGACCTGTTTAGACCTAAAGACCTACCTGACATTGTGATGCTGTGCTACCTTTCTTGTGCTGCAGAGTACCTTCTGTGTGCCCTCCAGGACTTTGGTGCTGGTGTTTTTACATAGAGAAGCTCCAGTGAGCAGGAGGGACTTTTCCACACACGCAGGCCTGAGGAAGAAGCCCGTCTCCTGCCACGCCGATAACTGCCCTCTTTACTCTTCCTGCTACGAGAAACTGGGTTGAGGTTCTGTACTGGGCCTGCAGCACTCCAGCTTGTGACTAGGAGGAAGGTCGCACCTGGAGCAGGCACTAAGTTGGCACTCAATGGATTATCGCTCACCCTGATAGGCCTATGTCCTTCGGGCCTGGAGGAGGCCCACCTGGGAAAAACCTCAGTCCCCTGCCTCCTTTTAAGTCCTAATGCTGTTGGCACTGGCCTGCTGCTAATGGGGTCATGTGCTGCATTTGGTCATTTGGTCATTTTGGCCCTGTCTTTTTCCCTAGGAGTCTAGAGACTCCCTGGGCAACAGAGAAGACAGGGTGGGCGTGGGCTAGTCCGGCCTCTGACGTTGAGAAGCTGTGAGCAAGGCAGTCAGCCCACACCTTCCGTGAAACTGGTCCTTACAGCTTGTCTCTGGAGTGGGCCAGGTATTTTTGCTTTAACTCCTCAGGGGCACTATGGGGGTACCATCACTGAGTTTAGCAAGAAGCTCCAATATTACAGAGAGAGACCCCCTGCGTCTTTCCTGCCTGGGCAGGCTGCAGGGTGTGCCCTGGGACTGCCGGGCAAGCTGTTCATTTGCCAGATGCTTCCCTTACAGTTGGTGAAGAGCTGCCTTTCCAGCTCCCCAGGCCTTTCCTCCTGCCTAGCCCCCTCACCTCCACAGCCACCCTCCATCCCCACCCCCTCGCACACTTAAGCAAGGGCACTTTGAACTTTTTGTGTTGTGGCTTGCTTTGCTGTCACTTGCTGAAGCCTAAGGACAGTAAGTTTTTCTTTTCCAAGATTTATTTCTTTATGCTTACAGAACTGGGGTACAGGCCAGAGGTGTGGTGGGTGAGAGGATTCACCAGAGACAGAGTGGGGAGCAGAACAGGTAGATTGATGAAGTACACTGCTGAGAGGAGCAGCGGGTGGGGCAGGAGAGGTCTGCTGCACCATGTGAGTCAGCTCCCTGGCTGGGGATGGAACTCGTGCTGCAGTGGCTTCAGAGAGCTTCATAATGCAGTGCTTTAGCCTGGTTGTACCACCAGGGAGAGCCCAGTTTTTCAAATCTATTGTAATAATATATATTTTATGTATTGAAAGATTTGGGCCCTCTCTGGTGGCACAGCGGGTTAAGCACAGCACTAAGAAGCTAAAGCCATTTCAGCATGAGTTCAGTCCCCGCCCTGGAGGGCATATAAATAATCCTTATGTATTCTGCAATACCTGCAATGTTATATGACAGCACCTGTGATCTCCAGTCTTGGGTTGTCTACCTAATGACAGATTCACAGATTCTGTGCAGCTCTGATGATCTGTGGCTGACTTTGGAAATGCTAAATTTGAGGTAGAGATGAGTGAAAGTGAAGATTTAATTTTCCCCTCCCAAATAGTGGATCAATGATTTCTATGCAGTTTTAGAAACTCTGAACAAAAGTATTCATTTCCCCATAATAGGAAACTCCAGACCCAGCTTCCTTTTTGACTGGTCCTTGCTCACCTTAAAACGGGGTTAAACACCTATGGCGCACAGTGGCCAGGAGGGGGCAGCACAAGAGCGGTAGTTCGGGACTCCACTGGCCCAGTGTTCGATCTAATTAGCCAACCAGCTAAGGAAACGAAACTACCTATGTAACATGGGACCCAAAGTCCTCTGTGCTTTCCACCTGTCTTATGTATGCTGAGGGGCAGTCCACTGGTAGGGATGCTGAGATTGGGCCTATAGGAACAGGTCTGAGGGTTCTTGGTGGAGATGTCCTCTGCTCCCCTCACTACCTAGACTGGGTGAGTAGAGTAGGTTTGTCTGAGCTTCCAGGGTCTGGAGATCTCAGGCAAGCGAGTGGGTCCCTGTAAATTTCTTCGCATAACGCTCACCCTGGCCTTGGTGGTTTGGGCATCAAGACACAGGCCTGGGGTTAGCAGCGTAGGAGTGCAACATTGCCAGGGCCGGGGGTGGGGGTGTGCAGGAGGTGGCTTTGAGGGAGGCTTCATTGCCTTCCCATAATGACCAGAGCCAGGCTGGAGTAGGTGGGTCTTCCTCCTGGGTGCACTGGCTGGCCCTGCTTCCCGCCACTCCTCACCCCACTCTGACCCTCTGGTGCAGGCTTCCAGGCTCTGGGAGGCAGGATGCTGATGTAGGGTTGGCTTGATTGCGGGATCTTCTGCAGAACTGTCCTCTGTGGCAGGTAGGTGTTTCCTGGCTCCCCTGGTCTGGACCCCGGAAGCCCCACCTATGGCTACTCTGAGACCTCAGTTCATGTGTGTGCTTTGGGTTCCCATACATGCCCCATCCCTATGCAAGCAGAGTGTGGGGCTCTTTTGCCCTTTGGTGACACCCGTCTGCCTGGTGGTCCTGGGGGGGGGGCATTTGGGAGGGGAGTCTAGAGTGGGATGGAGTGGGTCCCTGAGCCTCCAAAGACCACCCTGTAGAGCTGGCAGGGGACACCGTGCCAGGCTACACTCCATTCATGTCCCCTGTGGAACCCAGAGACCTGCTCTGGGGAAAATGGGGAACAGGAAGGTGCAGTGATCCCTTCTTGCCTGGGAAGTGGCATAGGGAGAGGGCATGGTATTTCTCGCATCCCTTTGAGAGTTTTCCCGGGAAGAGACCACACCTACCAACACCCTCTCGCTACCCCTGAATGGGTAGGGTGTCCTCTTAAATGCCTCACTCTAGGTTTGGTAATATCGCAGCCCTGGGTGAGGGTGAACGAGAACACAGGCCGACAGTGTCCACGATTCGTTGGCCTGGCTTTCTGCTCAGGGAGGAAAGATAGAGAAAGGAAGCTTCAGGACCTAAGACCACAAGGCACTTGCTTTATTGTTCCAGAATATGGCACAATGGCAGGCCATGTGCCTCATCTGACCCTGGGGCCAACCTTTGGGGGTGTTTGTCACTCCCCGGGCCCAGGCTAGGCTGAGGTTCCCACTTGGCAGGCAGCTAGACCACACCCCTGCGCCAGGGGGTCCTGGGCCTGCCAGTCAGGGGCATGGGTGCTCCCCAGCCTGTACCAGTTTTCTCTTCTCTGAATGCCCAGGCTGTCTGAGACAGTCGGAAGTAATCAATAAGCCAGGGCCTAAACTACTGAAGGAGTGAGACCAGTGACCGGGAGGGGCCCTCCCTGCACCCAGGATGGGAGAAGAAGATGCTTTCAAGTTTCCCGGGGGCACGGGCTTTTCCAAACACTTGGTGTTGGAATTGGGCTCAGTTTGTCCTGGGGTGGGTTTACCCCTCCTGTGTGCCAGACAGAGCATGTGCTAAGGACAGGTAGAGCCTGGCAGAGCCAGCCCCTGAGACACCTCAGGGGGAGGCTCCATATCTCCTCCTTCTTGATGGGCTGCTAGGATGAAAGAGGGGGAATAAATACAGGGGCTTCAGGGAAAGATCATGCCTGAGAGAGCCATACCTACAGAGAACGCGGGCCCAGGGTGGTCTCAGACCTGGCATGAGGGCCTTGGGTTTTTGGTAACCCAAGCCCTGGACTCTCGGCCGCCCTGGAAATGAAGTGAGGCTCTCTGTGACGTGTGTAGTTCTGATTCTTCTGGATACAAGTTATGTGGGTTGGCATGTGTCTGAATAACTGCATGTGTGTTCACGCGCACATTCGCAGCGGCTCAAGAGTGGACTGGGTAGAGTGCGTTTTCTTCTTGACAGACACATGCTCTTCATGGGCCCTTAGCTGACCCACCAGAGGGCAGAAATGTTGAGGGGCAGCATCCTGGGCGGTGTCTTCTTTCACCCCCCAGCTGCCAGCTAACAAACAACTTGGCTTA